AACTCTCAACAAAGTAATTCAATTAAAATCAATACAACTAAAGCAAAGCTTTTTTACATGTCTTCCGATTATGAGTTCCCATCTTTCCACACCTACTGCACCTAATTCTCTTGATTTCGCCCTTAGAAGGTATTCTCTCTGTTCTTGGACGTCCAGCTGGTCTCTTACAAAGAGGAGGTAAAACAACGTCATCATCAACAACTACATTTGGCTTCCACATACTAGGAACTTGATAGATAGTGTCACGACCCAAACCTGCCCCTACGGGATTAGCATCGCAACCGGCCAGTAAACCGTGATTACCAAAGCTTGCTTAACAGTAATGACAGTAATACAGAGTAAGGGGCTGGCGGAAGCCAAACAGTAATTAAAAAGATGTCCAATGAGCTGTGAAAATCCGAATGCAAAAAGACTTTTATGAACAAGCCACATTCATAACCAAAACATATGTACATACATCATCTATACAAACATGCAGGTTAGGGACCAAGTCCCTTCACCATAACTGTATATTCGAAACTTATTCAGTTGGTACAAAACAGAGACAGAAGGGTGATTCTGAACACCCTAAAACAGCCTTAGCTTGAACGAGCTCGGAACCTCGAAGTGAGCCACGATGGTTGGCTTGACAAAACGAGAGCTTAACTTGAGGCTCCTAGCTTCGGTCCGATGCCTGGACACCTACGTATAAATATAAACAGTGAGCTAAAGCCCAGTGAATAACATATGCGTAAAGGAGTTAAGAATGAATGTCCTTTCATTAATTAAAATAGTCATTTGCATCAGTAAATCAGTTATTCAATCAGTGGCTCATATTTTATGCCATATCAGTCATTTAGAATTCATAACAGTCATACGTGGTACGTCCAATAGCAAAACAGTACAATAGGTCTTAATAGACCGAACAGTCAGTTGATGGCCATCAGAACAGTAAACAGTAATAGTTCCAAACATTGGAACTGACAGAGGTCTCTGTAACAGTAGTAGTAACAGTACAGTAACAGTAAGTTGCTATGGATGCCACGAGTACAATTTACAAATAGAACAAACATTTATTTAGTAAGTAATGTCATTTCAGAAAGCGGTACAGTCAATCGTTCAAAAATAATTATAATTGAACGTATCTTTACAACATTGTTACTCATAGAGTACTGGGCTATAGACAGGCTAGTCAGCGTCCTCGGATGCCAACCATACACAGTTGCAGAACGAACACACACTAAGTTACACACTTGGGATTAATAACTTAGCCCCTTAATTTGACTCGGTGTGGTTCTATAACATTATCCTCATTAAGATGCCTTAAAAATAGCCTAGGAATGCCAAGGATGGAGTGAGGATGCAAAAATGTGCTTTAAAACACTTTTCAAATTTTTTACTGAAATAGGAGTCTCGCTCGAGCGTGGCTTTCTACGCTCGAGCAAGTTTACCAAAATAGAGGGGTTGCTCGAGCGTGGACTCCCTCGCTCGAGTGGTCTGTAAAAATGCAAAAAGTACTGGTTGTTGAAATTCTCCGCTCGATGCTCGCTCGAGCGTGAGACACAGCTCTTCGCTCGAGCGTAGGTCTTGTCGCTCGAGTGTGCGTCTGCGTGCACAAAAACCTGAGAGCTTGCAATCTACGCTCGAGCCAGCATTCCGTCGCTCAAGCGGGGCTCTGAACAAAAAGATGGTCGCTCAAGCATGGAATCCTTCGCTCGAGCGTGGAAGCCAAAATTTGGAATTTCCAGATTTGCTCCCAAAGCTCAAACCAAGAATTAAACTTATTAAAACTCAACCTTTTGGGCCAATTTTCTGGAAAACACTTGAAAACTCATACTACAACACGTTTTGAAGATCAATTTTGTAAAATCAAACCCAAAGGTGAGACAATTGAACACAATTTTGAATAAAACTTGAAGAATAATGCAAGAACATCACATGCATGAGTTCTTGTGGATTCCAATGCTCCAAAACATGGTCAAATGCAAGATTGAACTCTAAGACATGGTGAATTCATGGACTACAACCAAAATATGGACATGCATGTTGTAATAACCCCGACCTCCGATTAATGCTAATCCATGATTATTTATGCCTAACAGTAATTTAGGAAGGATTTGGAACTAATTTGCATGAGTATGCATCATCTTTGTATTTCTATTTGTTAGGCGTAGAAAGATCTGTTCATATTTTAATTTCGGTTCACGAATTAAGAGCCTTATCGGCGTCCGAATCAGGAATCGGCTTGTGTTATGTGCTAGTTAGGATTTATAGAATTTTATGGTAGATTTAATTGAAGTTTGGTTCGGAACGATTAAACTAGATTAAAATAATGCTATTTATTCACTTTTTGATCAATTACCACTTATGGATCACTTTAGACTCCACTAGCTCACATTTTCATTTCACTCCTCCATTTCTCTGAGGCAAAACGTAAGAGAGAGAGAGAGAGAGAGAGAGTTGAAGGGAAGTTGGTTCAACAAGGGATTTGCTTGGAGTTTAGGAGGAATATAAGGATTTGCATATTAGAGCCTTCACATTGAGGAATTCAAGACTTGAGGTAGGCATTCACCTTATTAATTATGGAATTGATTTGTTAATGTAAGAATTCTAGTGAATTAAATGGACTCATGTTAGGTTTAAGCTAAGATTGGTGAATTGAAGCTCAATACATACTTGCATGTGTAATTCATAGCACTTGAGTTGTCCTTCTAAGGAATCCATGCATGCATGCACAAATTTCCATGTTTTGAGTTGGAATTCTAAGATTTCTTCCATGCATGTGTCAATTTCACTCATAATATAGCCATTCAATTTATTTTCCATCAAATTATTAAGTTTGGTTATGTTTTGGAAGGTTTGAATTCAAAGAGATTCTTGCATGTTGAATTAATAGCATATTTATAAAGTTCATGTTGATTTTGCACAAATTGGTTTACTCTTGGGCCATGATTTCTTGAATTGAAGCTTTAAACATGTTGTTTTATGGGTTACCAAGTGTTTTCCAAAGTTTTGGCCCAGGAAATTGAGTTTTGGATGGTTGAATGTTGAATTTCATGTTTGGAGGTCAATCTGGATTTTCCAGAAATTTGATCCACACTCGAGTGAGGACTTTCACGCTCGAGCGTGAAGCCTGAGTACATGCACTTCTGCTTGAGCGGCGAGAGTCACGCTCGAGCGTGAAATGCGTATACCCAGAAGTTTGTGTGTTTTGCAGTCCGCTCGAGCGAGGAAAGCCACGCTTAAACGAGGGTCTGTGTCACACACTCAAGCGGGGAACGAGCGCCCGTCGAGCTTGAATTTCTTGCATCCAGCACTTTTTCATAAGTTTGCAGTTCACTCGAGCGGGGAAGTCCACACTAGAGCGGGGCTTTTTTTCTGCATGTCCACTTGAGTGGGGAAATCCACGCTCGAGCGTGGACCTTATCTTCATGAAAATTTGAGAAATAGTTTTCAATGCATTCTTGCATCCTCATTTCATCCTAGGCATTCCTAGGCTATGATTAAGACCCTTTAATGAGGATAAGAGATTAAAAACACACTAAGAGCCAACGAAATAAGTTTTGTACAATTAGAACGTGAGTTTCAAGTGTGCATCTGTTATGTGTTGTGTAGGTCACGTGCCACGTACCGTTTGACCAAGTTTACTCCATCTGTCCGTCTCAAGGCCCACTATGAGTAATAACTCTATAAAGTTATGTTTAACTTAAGTATTTTCTGACTGGTATGGTATGATCTGTTTTCTAAAATGCTATCTTACGAATTATCAATGAATGTCTAATTTTTTGAAAAGTATTTGTGGCACCCTTAGTTCATGTGGCCCTCGCCCGGGGGTAACAATACCGCGGCTAATCTGCACGTGGCCCTCGCCCGTGGGTAACAATACCGCGGCCAATCTGCACGTGGCCCTTGACTGGGGATAACAATACCATGGCTACTTACGTGCAAGATATGGACCTTTATGTTCGTTGGTACCAACTATGCATGTGGGTCTCTAGACCAAATTGATCTGATAGCTAATGGGTGTACCACGTATGATCTTATGCAAAATCTGAATATGAACATGAGTGTGTATCTGAATCTATTTTTGTTTTGAAGTCTAAATATGTTCTGATTTAATTACTAGATTCTAACTTATGCTGGATATCATTTATGCAACCCCTTTACTCCGTTATTATTCACTGGGCTTTAGTTCACAGTTTATATTATGTATGTAGGTGAGCCGGCGTGTGACCAGGGCCAGAGTTGACGGCCTTCTGTTCTGTTTTGTCAGCCAATTGTTACGCCTCCCGAGGAGGTTCCGGTCGAAGTTTAATGCTATGGCTGTTTTTTTTGTATTCATGCTAGTCTCTGGATGTGTTTTGTAAAGACAGGTCTTGGGATGTAATACTTTGTAAATATTGGTGTCCTTTGGCTGGCATGCTTATGTATATATATAAGTTTTGAAATGTTCTGTCCCATGTACGTTATCACAGCTCATTGGACCTCGTCTATTTTGTATTATTGCTTCCTCAGCCCCTTATTATTTGCTAATCTGTTCAGGGACCTTTAGTAATCCACGGGTTACTGGTCGGTTACGGTGCTAAACCTACAGGGGCGGGTTTGGGTCGTGACAGAGTGGTATCAGAGCACGTGTTCTACCGCACACACAGGTCCATATGAGCTTAGGATGTCCTAGTAAGAGTTAAGGGCATTCCATCTGCATGTGTGAGTGTGTGGTAATTCAACTGAAGATGAAAACTGAATGTACATTTGAATCAAATGAATTGAAGGAAACGAATAAGATTATACTTGTGTTTATTATCATTTAATGTCTGTTTAGTACGATGGAGAATGCAAGGGGAAGTGGTGAAAGTGAATCTTCAGAGGCTTGCATGGGCTGAATGGAACAGATGTTAGTAGCATTGACTGAAGCCTGGACACAACAACAGAGACAATAACCTTTGCCCTCTCTGCCTCCACCAGCACAAGCCGAGACAGATAATGCTAACATCATTAATCTGACACAGAAATTCATGAAGATGAAACCGCCAACGTTCTATGGCGGAATTGAACCATTGAAAGTAGAGACGTGGTTATTTGAAATGAAGAAGTTATATGAAGTGTTCCCTTGTTCTGAAACCCAGAAAGTCCTCCTAGCTACTTATACTTTGAAAGATGAAGCCCGAAGGTGGTGGTTACTGATTCGAAGTGGCAATGAGAATATGACATGGGCACAGTTTAACGCAATCTTTTATGATAAGTATTTTCCCCAATGCTTCAGAGATCGGAAGGTGTCCGAGTTTCAAGAACTTAAACAGGGAAGAATGTCTGTAGCAGAGTATGAAGCCAAATTCACCGAATTGGCACGTTTTGCTCCACATATGGTGGACACTGATTACAAGAAAGCACAGAAGTTTGAGGGAGGGCTGGACTTGGAAATATTTGACCGAGTGGGTGTCCTAAAATTACCTACTTATGTGGAGGTACTTGACAGGGCATTGATGGCAGAAGCCACAATAGCAGCTAAGAAACAAACTACAACACCAACAACAGAATGGAGAGGAAAGAGGACCGAATTCAGTTTCAAGAAGGGCCGGTCAGGTTTGAAAAGGCAAAATACAGGATCCTCCAGTAGCTCTAGCCAAAGTAGCGGATCTACTCCGAACTGCCCCGACTGCGGAAAGAAACACAGAGGTGCTTGTTATCGAGCATCAGGTACGTGTTTTCGCTGTGGCAAGACTGGCCACATGGTGAGGGATTGCCTGATGAGATTCAACGAGGTTAACCATCCTATGACAAGTTCCACCGGGTCTGTTTCCGCAGCAAGACCAAATGCAAGGACCGATGTTAGAGGCAATGCAAATAATGAAACATTGAAACAGGGTCGAGTATTCGCCTTAGCGCCTGGTGACGTACCAAACACCTATACCGTGGTGTCAGGTACACTCTCTGTTTGTTCTCAAGATGCATGCGTATTGATAGATTCTGGTTCTACACATTCCTTTGTATCGCATGTTTTCTCTCGAAAATTGACTAGACCATTAGAACTTATGACATATGTGTTAACTGTATCTACGCCGTCTAGGGATTCTATGGTGTGCACTCATATTTATCCAGCATGTGATATTATGATTGGCGATGTGATATTATATGTTGATTTATTACCCTTGAACATTGATCACTTTGATTGCATTTTGGGAATGGACTGGTTGACTAAATACTGTGCTACCATTGACTGTGCGAGTAAATCTGTTGTGTTTAGACCACCGGGTATGCCTGAATTTACTTTTACTGAGGATGGGGTAGTTCCTCCTCCATATCTGATTTCCACTTTGAAAGCCATAAAACTGCTTAGAAAGGGATATAGAGGTTACTTGTGCTGTATACTGACTGCACCATCTGGCGGGACTACGGTAGAAACTATCTCGGTGGCTTGTGAATTTCCCGATGTGTTTCCAAATGACCTACCTGGGGACTTAATTGACAGGAAAATAGAATTCACCATTGATGTAACACTTGGAACACAACCCATCTCCAAGACTCCATATAGGATGTCAACTTCTGAACTGAAAGAACTGAAAGCTCAACTACAGGAACTCTTAGACAAGAAATTCATTCGTCCGAGTACCTCACCTTGGGGTGCTCCAGTATTATTTGTCAAAAAGAAAGACAGGTCTTTGAGGTTATGTATCGATTACCGGGAATTGAACAAAGTGACCATTAAGAATAAATATCCATTACCCCGAATAGATGATTTGTTTGATCAACTCCAAGGAGCCAAAGTGTTCTTTAAAATCGATCTTAGGTCCGGTTATCATCAGTTAAAGGTTAAGGCAGAAGACGTAGAGAAAACTGCATTCCAAACTAGATATGGACATTATGAATTCTTGGTAATGCCTTTTGGAGTAACAAATGCACCTACTGCTTTTATGGACCTAATGAATAGGGTGTTCAAACAATATCTTGATGAATTCATTGTTGTGTTTATTAATGACATTTTGATTTATTCTAAAGACAGGGAAGAACATTAGAACCATCTGAGAACTACCTTGCAGATTTTGAGGGAAAAGAAACTGTATGCTAAATTGTCCAAATATGAATTCTGGCTTGCTAATGTAGCATTTTTGGGACATGTGATCAATGAGGATGGTGTTTCTGTTGACCCTCAGAAGATTGAAGCTATTGTGGACTGGCCTAGACCGACGAACGTAACAGAAGTTAGAAGTTTTTTGGGACTTGCAAGTTACTACCGAAGATTTGTGAAAGACTTTTCCAAGCTTGCCATTCCATTAACCCAATTAACTCATAAAAATGTGTCATTTGACTGGAACGAACAAAGAGAGGCAGCCTTTCAAGAACTGAAAACCAGGTTAGTCACTGCACCAATCTTAACTTTGCCTAATGGTATTGATGGGTTTCAAGCATACAGTGATGCTTCCTACAAAGGTTTGGGATGTGTATTAATGCAAAACAAAAAAGTGATTGGCTATGCTTCTAGACAACTCCGACCTCATGAAAAGAATTACCCAACGCATGATCTTGAGTTAGAAGCAGTGGTGTTTGCTTTGAAAATCTAGCGTCACTACTTATATGGGGTAACTTGTGAGGTGTACACCGACCATAAGAGCTTGAAATACTTCTTCACCCAAAAAGAATTGAACATGAGACAGAGGCGATGGTTAGAGTTAATCAAAGATTACGATTTGCAGATCTTGTACCACCTAGGGAAAGCTAATACCGTAGTGGATGCCTTGAGCCAAAAATCAATGGGAAGTTTGTCATGTCTGTTATCTAACCGGAAAGAATTGCCGAATGACCTAGAACAAGTTGGGCTGTTAACCGCTATCTCCGCTCAACCTACAATTCTTGATGAGATCAAACAAAAACAGTGCGAGGATGAATACTTGAAAAAGATCACGGAGGAATTTGATTCGAAGCCAAGGCCAGAATTTGTGTCTGAGAGGGATGTGCTAAAATTTCAGAACCATCTTTGTGTACCCGATTATGGTGATTTGAGGAAACATGTTATGACCGAAGCTCACAGTGGTAAGTTTGCTATGCACCCGGGGAACACGAAAATGTACCATAATTTGAAACAGAATTTTTGGTGGCCTGGAATGAAAAAGGGTATTGCAGACTTTGTGGCGAGATGTTTACATTGCTAACAGGTTAAAGCTGAACATCAACGACCCGCTGGTTTACTACAGCCACTCCCAATACCGGAATGGAAATGGGAGCACATTACCATGGCCTTCATTGTGGGATTGCCGCATTCTTCTCGAGGTATGGACTCCATCTGGGTTATAGTTGACCGTTTAACTAAGTCTGTCCATTTTCTGCCTGTCAAAACCATTTATAACGCTGATAAATTGGCCAATATCTATATGACTGAAATTGTGAGATTGCATGGAGTGCCAGTATCTATTGTGTTTGACAGGGACTCAAAGTTTGTGTCGAGATTTTGGCAAAGTTTGCAACAGGCTTTGGGGACTGAATTGAGACTGAGCAGTGCCTATCACCCATAAACAGATGGCCAAACTGAACGAACGAACCAAACTCTGGGGGATATGCTCAGAATGTGTGTGTTAGACTTCCAAGGGAATTGGGAGACATATTTGCCATTGGCTGAATTTGTGTATAACAACAGTTACCATTCAAGCATTGGAATGGCACCTTACGAAGCTTTGTATGGAAGAAAGTGTCGTTCTCTGATATGTTGGGCTGAAGTAGGTGATAGACCTTTGTTGGGACCAGAATTGGCACAAGAAACAATTGAGAAAGTGAAATTGATCCAGCACCATTTGAAAACTACACAGAGTCAGCAGAAGAGCTATGCCAATGTTCGAAGACGAGATAGGGACTATGAAGTTGGGGACCATGTGTTCATAAAGGTGACCCCGATGAAAGGTCAAACTCGGTTTGGTGTTAAGGGCAAGTTGGCAGCAAGATATGTTGGACCTTATGAAGTTCTCGAAAAGTTCAATCCAGTATCGTACCAGATAGCTTTACCACTGGTAATAGAGCATATGCACAATATATTTCATGTATCGATGCTTCGAGAATATTTGAGAGATCCACTCCACGTCATTGAGCCAACACATGTGCTTTTGAAAGATGATTATACCTACGAGAAAAGACCTATCCAGATTGTGAATCGGAGGATCAAAAGACTGAGAAATAAAAAAAATACCACTAGTAAAAGTTGATTGGCAAAACCACGAAGGAACCTATGCAACTTGGGAAACTGCGAAAGACATGATGAAAAGATATCCAGATTTGTTCCCGTTGGACCCAATGTTGTTCCAGAATGAAGGTAATTCGAGTTTGGGGACCAAACTCTTTTAAGGGGGGAAGACTGTAATAACCCTGACCTCCGATTAAAGCTAATCCATGATTATTTATGCCTAACAGTAATTTAGGAAGGATTTGGAACTAATTTGCATGAGTATTGCATCATCTTTGTATTTCTATCTGTTTGGCGTAGAAAGATCTGTTCATATTTTAATTTCGGTTCACTAATTGAGAGCCTTATCGGCGTCTGAATCAGGAATCGGCTTGTGTTATGTGCTAGTTAGGATTTATAGAATTTTATGGTAAATTTAATTAAAGTTCGGTTCGGAACGATTAAACTAGATTAAAATAATGCTATTTATTCACTTTTTGATCAATTACCACTTATGGACCACTTTAGACTCCACTAGCTGACATTTTGATTTCACTCCTCAATTCCTCTGATGCAAAACGTGAGAGAGAGAGAAAGAGAGAGAGAGTTGAAGGGAAGTTGGATTCAACAAGGGATTTGCTTGGAGTTTAGGAGGAATAGAATGATTTCCATATTAGAGCCTTCACATTGAGGAATTCAAGACTTGAGGTAGGCATTCACCCTATTAATTATGGAATTGATTTGTTAATGTAAGAATTCTAGTGAATTAAATGGACTCATGTTAGGTTTAAGCTAAGATTGGTGAATTGAAGCTCAATACATACTTGCATGTGTAATTCATAGCACTTGAGTTGTTCTTCTAAGGAATCCATGCATCCATGCACAAATTTCCATGTTTTGAGTTGGAATTTTAAGATTTCTTCCATGCATGTGTCAATTTCACTCATATTATAGCCATTCAACTTATTTTCCATCAAATTATTAAGTTTGGTTATGTTTTGGAAGGTTTGAATTCAAAGAGGTTCTTGCATGTTGAATTAATAGCATATTCATAAAGTTTATGTTGATTTTGCACAAATTGGTTTACTCTTGGGCCATGATTTCTTGAATTGAAGCTTTAAACATGTTTTTTTATGGGTTACCAAGTGTTTTCCAAAGTTTTGGCCCAGGAAATTGAGTTTTGGATGGTTGAATGTTGAATTTCATGTTTGGAGGTCAACCTGGATTTTCCAGAAATTTGGCCCACGCTCGAGCGGGGACTTTCATGCTCGAGCGTGAAGCCTGAGTACATGCACTTCCGCTCGAGCGGCGAGAGTCATGCTCGAGTGTGAAATGCGTATACCCAGAAGTTTGTGTGTTTTGCGGTCCGCTCGAGCAGGGAAAGTCACACTCGAGCGAGGGTCTGTGTCACACACTCGAGCGGGGGACGAGCGCCCGTCGAGCTTGAATTTCCTGCATCCAACACTTTTTCATAAGTTTGCAGTTCGCTCGAGCGGGGAAATCCACGCTCGAGCAGGGCTTCTTTTTCTGCATGTCCGCTTGAGCGGGGAAATCCACGCTCGAGCGTGGACCTTATCTTTAGCAAAATTTGAGAAATGGTTTTCAATGTATTCTTGCATCCTCATTCCATCCTAGGCATTCCTAGGCCATGATTATGACCCTTTAATGAGGATAAAAGATTAGAAACACACTAAGAGCCAACAAAATAAGTTTTGTACAATTAGAACGTGTGTTTCAAGTGTGCATCTGTTATGTGTTGTGTAGGTCACGTGCCACGTACCGTTTGACCAAGTTTACTCCGTCTGTCCGTCTCAAGGCCCACTGTGAGTAATAACTCTGTAAAGTTATGTTTAACTTAAGTATTTTCTGACTGGTACGGTATGATTTGTTTTTTGAAATGCTATCTTACGAATTATCAATGAATGTCCAATTTTCTGAAAAGTATTTGTGGTACTCTTAGTTCACGTGGCCCTCGCCCGGGGGTAACAATACCGCGGCCAATCTGTACGTGGCCCTTGCTTGAGGGTAACAATACCATGGCTACTTACACGCAAGATATGGACCTTTATGGTCGTTGGTACCCACTATGCATGTGGGTCTCTGGACCAAATTGATCTAATAGCTAATGGGTGTACCACGTATGATCTTATGCAAAATCTGAATATGAACATGAGTGTGTATCTGAATCTATTTCTGTTTTGAAGTCTGAATATGTTCTGATTTAATTACTGGATTCTAACTTGTGTTGGACATCATTCATACAACCCCTTTACTCTGTTATTATTCACTGGGCTTTCGCTCACAGTTTATATTATGTTTGTAGGTGAGCCGG